TGATTCAAATATTAGTGTGGAACGTGTGCAGTAGAATTTGCTTCCAACAGAAGCAGAGAATCCAGATGAGGGAAATCCCACAGGACCAATGATCTAATTATTAAATAAAATAATGAAGTTTGGCATTTTCAAGTACAGTCAAAAGATTTTAGACCAGCTCATTCGTACACAGTTCATAAACTGAATTGATATTCAGCAGTATTCTTAGTATAAGCGTAACAAGTTGAAATTCGAGGTAGCTGAAATGTTTGAGAGAGGAAAATCTACGCTTGAAAAATGTAACTAATCCGGGCTATGTGACGCTAAAGCAGGAGAACTGGAAAGACGTCGGTCTGAAGATACCGAATTTTACAGAAAAAAACGTAGTTTTAAAAATACTTTCTTGTGCGTCGAAAACGTGCACTTTTTGATCTGCCTTATACAGTTAGCAAATGTGAGAAAACTGCTTAGATTAAAGTTTTGACGTATGAAAGTATTAAAGAAAAAAAAATTTAGCTCACAAAATATTTTTGAATAATGAAATAGAAATTAAAGTAACCGAAAATTTAGCACAGGTGATGGACTAGCTGGAGCACCGTTCGAGTAGTTTGGGAAAGGCGACACCTGGATGTTTTCTCGTACAACATATGTCTTTCACAAATTTACTCTATAAGAAAAAAATAGTAAATTTATCCTCAAAAAAGAAGAGGTACGCTTCAGATAATTAACTTGAACGAGTGATCGTTGCAAATATTTGTGAATTTTTTCAATCTGAAACAAATTGTTTAAAGTAATTTCAGTTAGAAATATCTCATTAATCGTTATCCTGAGACTGCATAGCCAGCAGAAGATCATATATCAATAGTCAGCAAATATAATAGCCTAGCAGTTTACTAATGTATTTAAGATTTCTTTTCTGAAAAACTTCACCATTTAAGAATAAGATAAGAAAATTTTGTTATTTTTATACTGTAACAACCAAAGTTTTTGTTGGTGTGAAGTCGCAACTAAGACTTTGAACTTGAACTTGTAATGTAGTTTAAAAAATAGGCTCTTATTGAAAAGTACTGTTGAAAAGGTACAAGCGTGAAAAACAAAATGAAGTGTCAATTAAAAATAGATTGTAAAAGCTTTAACAGCGAAGAAATTTTTTAATTTTTTAAAGAAACCTCATTTTTTCTGGCTTTCGAAATTTAATTCGAGAGTCAGAAAAAAATTGAGTTGCTGAAAATTAAAGAATACAAGGTTTTATGGTGTTTTGAAACAACCACTTAAGCAGAAACAGCAAGTGTTTGGTCTAATGACACAACAGAAAAAATAAAAAATGATGTAAAAAAGATATAATAATGAATATGAAATTTAAGAGAAGAAAAAAAGGAAAAGAAAAAGAAGAAAAAAGAAAATAAAATGGAATAAAACTGAAAAAAAAGGAAAATGAAACAAGAAAAATAAAAATAAAACAAAAGTTTAAACTTACTGAGCACCTGCTAAGGAAATTTCAAACTTTGTGAGCACTGGCTGCCTTTACCTCAACGCAAAATATGAGCGATCTTCCTTCAACTGTCGTTCACACTCTCCCAGCCATTGATAGAATATTTCTAGATCGCCTTGACATCTGGGATATCTACTTAGATATCCTGCCCGTACATCCGATTGAGCGAGTAATAATTGTTGGTCTTCAATAATTACCACTCCTTCTCG